AGAACTTTCCTAAACTTTACTCTTCTGTTATGCAAGAAGGTGTCTGCTATTCATTAACTTCTATGGTTACACATTAAGTCTTTTCACTGACTCCATAACTTGACCCTCTGTCTGGCTAGCTTGTGTTAGAGCTTTCTCTCTATTTTATCATTTTCTCAGCAAAATGACAGAATGTGGAATTTTTGTAGATAGACATGAAAGCATCATAGTTGCTCAGATGTGTGGGAGATACAGAGATAACCTGAAAGAATAAATTTACCTTTATATTTATAATCAAAGCAAAATTTAGACATTCTGATCTGATGAGTTTTGGAATTACACATCTAAATCCAGGACTGATAACACAATTGCACTACAGAGAAATACAGTCATTCTTAGATTGAAAATGTATCAATCTGATTTGAATGAACAGCCTTTTATTAAAGCACATTTGTCTATGCTCTGTACTTAAATTCAGAATAAGCTTCAAACATTTCTCCATCCCCACTGTCAAATCCCTAGTTTTAAAGGTGATTAGTATTATGTGGAAAAATATCTATCTGAAGTGTAAAGTCCAAGCATATGTCTGAGAAGTAAATATAACTGCCCAACCTAAATCTCCTGGCCAACTATGTGCCTTTGCCTCTTTGAACAGGAATTACCCTTGTACTTGGTCAAAATGAAACTACAGGCACTTGTGTTAATGATCTTTTGTCTTATGCATCCGAAAGGAGAAGTGAATAATCGTGAAGGATGGAAACAATATACAGAGGTGATAGTCTGCTAATCAGTCAAGGATCTTGCACTAATTCCTGGTCCCTTGAGCAAAGCCTAAATAAAGTCATTTGGGAGGAATCGCTATGTCAGGATTGCTAGAAATAGCAACCTCCTCCACCCTCTGGAAGTGAGTTATGAAACATGAGCAAACACAACCTCTTCATCTATTTCTGGAAGTAATTTTCGTATCTTTGTCCCCAGCACCATCAGTAGTATCAAGGCTTTGGCTGATGGATCCCCACAATTGCAGATCTTCCCTCCCACCATGTTCCTCAGAGTTTTCAGTTTGCTGACACAGAAGAAGCTTTTGTAAGCACTTCTCCATGACATGTAAGGAAAGGGGATTCATGTTGCACTTTCTGCCCTAGCACTTTGCCTCTCATTAGCTATACTGCAGAATTATTTAAGTTCTGATATATTTCAGCCCTTCTATAAAGTTAGGTAAGGTGCAGGATCTGGACCATAATCTTAAAGTACTGAGGTTCACCCTACATCAAAACTATTTCATGGACTATTTAAAGGCATTTGAACCATAAATGTCTTCTGATAAAGACATGCTACAGTGAACAAGGTCAGAGGAAGAGCAAGAGCTGGGGTATTCAGACTGGGAAGTGGGACTGCTGTTCAAGTTTATAAAGATTGTGGGTTTCTCTTCCAGACCTTTCATATGTGTGTTTGGATCTTAAGACTAAGAATTTTATCATATCACTTACTACTGGAGATTGAGGATAAAAGGTTTATACAAGCTTTAGATAATTATTCTGGTAAACTTAATCACCTGTTTAACACTGGACTAGTTCTTTTCATTTCTGACTTCCATTTTCAATTCAATACAAATTAATATAAACTATACCTAAGTGAACAGAAGGGATGAAATTGTGGGATTTTCACAACATGCACACTTTGCTTTTATGAAGTAATGACATCATTCTTACTCAGTGCCAGAGCACACATGAGCAGATTGATCCACACTTCAATGGAGACTCACATTTCAGCATATGTGCCATCTGGGTAGTACTTGCAGCAACACCATAATGGCTAACTAACTAGGAACCTCATAGGAATCTATGTATTGAATTTGTGTGTTTATTTTTTCATGGACAGATGCTGTGGGATGAATTTGAATCTCACTTCCTGAATGATCTTCATTTCTGAACTCAATGAATGTCTTTTAAATCACTTTAAAATTAGTGATGAAGCCTGTCTTACATTTTTTTGATAAATCTGACTTTAACATTATTTAAAGCACCAGTAGACTTATTGGAATTATTACACAGAGAGGGGACCCGCCAAATTGTGACCTATGGTCTGCCCTGAAATAATTTTCTGCATCTCACCAAGATATAAGAACAACAAAACCTGTTGGAAGTCAAGGTTATAGGGATTTTTGTACATGGCATGAATTATCAAGAATCCTGGAATCCTATTTCTAACTCCCTCATTATTCTGCTTTGTAACCATGAACTACTCCCAGTGTTCCTGATGACCTAGCTGCTTCCCTTCTCCTTTTAGACCACCTCTGCTTGATACCAAATTCAATCTTGACCTTGTCTTCTATGCCATCTGTGCATTTTCATAAAACACTTCTCCTGTACAGATCATGTTCAATAACCAAGAGCCCAACGAATACTTTTAAAGGCTTTCTTTTTACTGGCAGAGAAGAACAGTGTTTTTAAGGGATTCTACACAGGTCTTTTCTGAGAATGAAGTGAGTATTTCATCTGGAGGGAGGTATTGATGGACCCAGGATACTGAGGCTTGGGGAAAGGAGCAAATCCTGAGGAACCGGGGAAGAACACCGTTCTGAATAAGGAAGAAGATCAAAGTAGAAGAAGCCAGAAGAAAACCTCCTGTCTCACTTTGTCCTCTTGATGACCCTCAAGTCCTAGAGAAAAAGAGCTTAGTGAAAGCAGATATCCGAAAGACATTTGTTTTTCCTCAGAAATAATTTATTTGCTTTAAAGGTCTGAATTAAAGTGTCTAGTGTTAAAATATTTTCTTAGATTGCTCCTTCTTTCTTTCCACAGCCATTTTTAGATTATCTAAATGTCAAGGAGTTCAGAACACATGCTGACTGAAAAATTGCTGTGCATGAGAGCTCAGGACAGAAATTACAGTATCTAAAAATTCCTGAGTCTTCCTGCTCAGGCCATAAAGTACAACCCCAAATCTGTCCATTAAAGTCTGTTTAAAAGACACAGTACTTTAATGTCACATGCTCTCTATCTGGAGATTTGTCTGTGGGTCATGGCAGTGAGAAGATGCTCAGAAATGGAGTGAAACCTGAGGAAGAGGTGGGAAATAGTATGTGCTCTGTCAGACATAACTACAAAGCTCAGTACCTTGTTGATGTCTCCACTTTTAATACTGCAAAGTCACTGGAATACCTTCCAAACCTTGATTTGTTATCTTGCCTCAAATTGTTCAAGGCAAAGTTATATGTAATTGTTCATTAGCTAACACTTCTCTTTAGCTTCAATAACTCTTCCAATTTGTTGGTGTTTACTTCTCTGATAAAGTGCATAGAAAGACAGCTGTCACTTACCCTCTTAACATTTGTTTGCTATGCAAAGCACACTAAGCTTTTATAGTCTCATCTTATAAAAGAGGCTCTTTAATGGCCTTGTCTCCCCTGCACCTGTTGCAACTCATCGTAATTCAGCTCCATGAGGCCAACCGACCTGTCTCAGAGGTCACACCAGGGTCTCTTCAGCTCCAGGGACATGTCCTTGGTTTGCTCCTGGGTTTTTCTGTGAGCAGTTCCTGCCTGGTAATGCTTTTTGACATGTTATCACCAACAGACCCACTCTTCCTTCTCTTTCACTTCCTCTTCATACCAGAAAAAATCTTTCAGCTAGGGCTATGATTCAAGACCACCGTGCAGCACCTTCAGGTACTAAGTATGACCCACTGTCGTTTACACAACATTCAGGGACACTGATTTTTTCTGCACTATGACTCCACACTTCCATCCTGTGCCATTTGCATTTTTCTTCAACCAGCTTGTATGTTTTTACCTCACTTCATTATAAGCAAGTAAAATAAGCTCAATCCTTCTTATACAGAAAGTCTTCTAAAATTTAAATCACAGTCATTCATCTTTCAATCTAGTGTTTTGTCTTCTACTTAGTCAGTCCCTCATCCATTTTACACCATTGGTGCTAACCTCTGTCTTTATCTCATCTGGCAATTCTCTGTGTGCCAGAATAACAAATATTTTTAGAAGTCATTTGATTTCTGTGTGTCACATAAGGAACACATGCCTGCTAGCAAGTATGCTTACAATTTTAAGTGCAATCTGATGCATAACACCCTGCTAAATGAAAGGAGAATTACAGCTGAAGCAAAACAAACAAATCCTATGCTTAATTTGATAATAACGATTTTATCTGAAGCTGGCAGGAACTGGATCTTCAGCTAGCTTAATGATTTCCATTTACCAAGAAACATTGCAGTAGAGGAAGCAGCACCTTTTTAAAGGCTGGAGCAATTAACACCACTGAATTTTTGCAGGGAAGCTGTTTATGAAAGCAACGGGAGACCGCACAGCAGGGAGCAGCGCTGGAACCCAGGCGAATACATGGGAATTTCCTAGGGAAGGGTGTGAACCTGTGATAGCCATTTGCACAAAAGTGTTGGACTCATCCCCTCACCCCCTGCTGGCCCCTGGATCAGGGCTGTGCCGCACACCAGGAGGGAAACACGGCTCCAGCGCGGCCTCCTGGGGAGACACCCAGCCCCTCCGAACCGCGCAGGCCTTACGCCAAAAGAGGCTTTCTGCAAACAGCCATGAAAAGCCCCGCCAGCCTGCTTGGACCTGCACGTTTCATTTCAGCAGCCAGCCCGGCTAAAGCTCCCTGGCTGGCGCATGGATGCGCACCTATTTCACTTGAATTTGAAAACTGTCCCTACGTTGCCCGTGCCTAGTGCTGGACATTCGTGCTTTTCTATATTCCCATCTCCCCGGCAGGCGTTGGCAGCCCTTTCCCCCCGCTGGGCATTCCCGGCGCTATCCCGGCCGGTTCCTTCCCCCGCATTCCCGGGGGACAGCGGGAGCGAGGCGGGCGGGCGGTCCGAGGCAGCGCCGCGCTCCCCGCCCCCGGCTCCCGGAGCCCTCCCGGGTCCGTCGGGCGGCGGGGACGGGCATGGATTTGGCGGGAGTCTATAAAAAGCCGCCGTGAGGCGAGGCCACCGTCCTGCCAGAGCCGCCGGCAGAGGCTGGGGCGCGGCGCCGGCACCGCACCATGATCAACCCCAACTACTACCCCTGGGGCTACGACAGCGATAACGGTGAGCAGGGGGCCGCGCCCGGCCCGCTCCTCCCGGCACCGAAACCGGGGCGAAACGGGGACCCCGCTTCCCGAGGGAGCATGGCGGGGACACGGGCTCCAGGCGGGCCTGGGGCTCTGCAGGCGGTGGGGCCGAGGCCGCTCGGTTGTCGCTCGCAGGCACGGAAGAGGCGAAGCTGGCCGAAGGAGAGGTCAATGGCAGGGGATCTTTGAGTTAAATAAAGTCAGTTTTCCTACTGCTAGTGTAAATTAAAGTTGGACATAGCAAGATGTCCAATTTAGGCCAGCCCTAATGCAGGAAGAGCAGTGCTGGGCTGCAGGCCCCGCCTGCCTGGAGAGGTTGGGGTATTGGTGGTCTCTTGTTCCCGCTCTCTCCTCTGCTGCAGGAAGAACAGTTCAGCATTGGTCCGGATTTTTCCACATGAACTTCTTGGTAAAACTATGATGATAATTAAATCCACGTTTCAAATTCTTGGCATGTCCAGGTTTCAGTGGCCTTTTCTCATTCCATATGGCTACATGGTCCCATATTTCAATCATTTGGGTATATCCCATCACATTTCTAGCCACTGCTGGACTTGGAGTATGTATCTCTGGTTTTCTTCCTTGGCATATCATCATTCTCCTAGTTGTCAGTCTTGAGGTTGCTGTAAGAGTTTAGGTTCAGTTGAAGGACTTTAAGTATCCAGTATTCCAGCTAGAAATCAATCTAGTTGCTTTTTATACAATGAAACTCTTGATAGGGCATGAATAACAACTAGGCAATTACTTATTAATGCACTTAAATTATGTTCTATACTTAAGCAAAGCCAAGCTTGTGTTAATTGTAACAAGTATAATTCATATCTCTCTGGAAAAGATTTTCCTGATACTTTTCTGTACTTTTTTGTAGGACCAGATCAGTGGCACAAAAATTACCCTTTTGCGAAAGGACGCCATCAGTCACCGATTGAAATCAATAACAAAGACGTGCATTATGACAGTTCTCTACTGCCATGGTTTGCTAGTTATGATCCTGGTGCAGCTAAGACCATCCTCAACAACGGGAAAACCTGCAGAGTTGTATTTGATGATTCATTCGATAGATCAGGTCGGTTTTGTTTTCATCTCTGTCATTACATAAAGGTGACTGTTTCTCAATTTGCATGGCAGAGCCTGCTCTGACTCTTCAGGCTCTTGGAAGGGTGCTGTGTACTGCCTGTGTGTGATGTTACAGGTTTCTATGACTGGGTACCCTGTGCTGCTGCTGCTGGCAAAGTCTGAGTCTCCTTTTAAAGTTCATCAGTAAAATCCCAGGGAATGGAGAGAGGCGCAAAGAAACTTGGTACAGGGTGATTTAAGGTGTAAGATAAATTTCTGGGGCTGCAGAAAGTCATTGCAGTTGTGTTGCTTTTAGGATGAAGGAGGCCCAGACTTCTTCTGTGAGAACTGAGTTCCATTTTGCCTATTTGAGATGCCCTGCAGAACATCTTAAGTTACAATATTTAAAAACTCTATCCATGTAATTTGTGATAAATGAAGTAACAAGCCAGATGTTGCCACAACGTCATGGTATTTAATCAGTTGAAGCTCTTTTTGGCATTAATGGGGTTTTGTCTTAGTGAAGATTATAGGGCTGATAAATTTAATTGTGTCAGCTTTTATCCACTTGCATCTATGACAGCATACAGTGTACAGACTTATTTCTTATCTGCATTGAAACTTACACTTTCAATATGACTAGGACTGACAGCTCTAATTACTATGAGAAATCTTACTCATAGATTGTTTCTTGTTAAGTATATACAGACGTGGATTTAATTTAATAGATTTTTAACTAATTAGTTGGGTTTCATGAAACTGAGGATCAAAATGTATGTATGCTGGACTAGTTAATATACTATCAAAACTCAAATATCGCTGTGCAGTCAAGAGTTTTGTAACTTTTCTAGCAAAGTGGAAATTTTCAATGTTATTTGAAGAAAAATATTATTAATGTCAGATAAAATGATACACAAGTAAAGAAATGTAGCTGTGGCATGTGAGATCTCCATGACTATTACCATTTTTTACCATCTGTTGTATTTGTTAGAACAGCATCAGATATACCAATGGTTGCATCTTCTGCATAAAAATAAAAGTGTAAGCATTGTGAAAATAACTCAGATTTTGAATGGGAGAGAGTATCCAGGCACAGCAATCTACAGCATGGATGCAACGCTCACCACAAAGAACAGAAAGTTTCAGAATGTTGTGAAATTTTTTTCAGATGAACTGCTTAGTAACTGTTGTGTTTTGATCTCAGAAATAAAAAGCGACTCGCTGCAAAAAAAGTAGGTGTATATCTCAACTCTTTGAAGTCAAGAAACATTCAGTGTTTGTTGTTATGTCTCCTTTGTTATACCATTGCCTGCAGAGTCTGTGGGTGGTGTTCTTTCTCTAATATAATGCTAATTGCAGGACGAATTCCACTGTGCATACTCCTACTGACTTGAACACATTTTCAGTTTTTTAGGATATGTACAATGGCTTATTTTTTATGTAAAAGAACCACCAGCTGCACAAAACATACATATGCAATAGCAATCATATAGGAATGAAGCTTTTATTCCTTTGGACAAAGATGCTCATTCTCTCTATGTCTGTGTACATGTCTATCACTCTGTCTATCTGAATTATTTCTGAGTTAACCAGAAAACTAAGCATTTATTTTCCTGACTTTTTTCAGTTATAGTTGTCATACCTATATCTGTACTTCTGTCTACATTTTCATTAGTTTGGAAAAAATAGATTGCTGAATAAATTGCCAAGGTGAGTGATGAAATAAATTACTTTGGATGTCTCCAAGTTTTACATTCATTGTATATCCTGCCAAGAACACTTGAAGAATTCACAACTGAGGACAGTTTCTTTAATTCAAACAATTGAATTATCAATATCGTCCAATGTAATTCAGGTATTATGTTGAAAATAGGCCTTATTACTTTTATGCTTAGGGTTAGCTTAGTGGAAGGGATTGGAGAATTTATTTCCAGCTATTTATAAAGTCTGATTGACTTTGAGAACCTGCTACAAAATTGAAAGCTTTGCTGACTTTGCTGACAGATGAAGTTGCTGTAGGGGCAGTATCATTCCTCTGCTGCCTATCCATACGAGTCAATGGATTTCTGTGGATTCAGTTTTCTGTCTTATTGTACCCATGTAGATGGATTTTATGCACTGTAAAATGATTGCAGGTGGGGGCTGGAGTCTGAAAATTGAGGAAAGAACTGGGAGCTGAAATCAAACCTTCTAGGTAGCTGGGCTCAGTAGAACACACCAGAACTTGGGTACTTTGGCAGCCTACCACTGCTATGCTTGCTATGTTTGCTATGTTTTTTTTGCCTGATTCGCAATTCAGATACTCTTTTAGATCCAGCAGTGACCCATTTTTTATTTGAATTAGGGCTGAAATCTTATTTCCTCTATCAGAATCCATTTATTTCTAAAATTCATAAAATATTCCTATCAGAGAAGTGTCCTGAGAGCTTCTAGCTGGTGGGACTATTGTCATGATGCTCTTTGAGATATATAACTTCCCTAAAGTTAATGACTATTTGGCTATTGTTGTAATACCTTGGTTAGATGGTTACACCAGTGTTTGATTATTTGAGAAACAGTAAAGATACAAAAGTCTCATAATGGAACCCAGACAGAGCAGCTGGACAGAGATACACTAAGGTCACATGGATACCTGCCTTCATCTTCCCTCTTTGTTGATTTTGTGGGCAGTTCCTATGGATGTTCATCAACCAAACAGATTCCTACTACTTCTTTTACTGGCTTTCAGATGGGTGACATTTAAGGGTTTGGAGTACCTCACTGCAGGCACACATTCTTACAGGCTTACCTTGACGCTGTTTTCAGAATCTTTCCTATCAAAGAAAAAAGTGGGTTTGAAAGTAGATGATGCAAAAAAAAAATAATTAGAGAAGTCAGAGCTTGTTGCTAATCAACTCTTTTAGCATGGCCAGGGCTTGTGGCCAGCATTTCCTCAAATACCCCTTTGTGGGAAATCTCATTTATTTTTGCAAATGAAATTTTTCATTATCAACTTCTGGTAAATAAAACATTCATTTTTTTCACTGGTATTATAGAGTGAAGACAAACCCTAGTAACTTTAATTAAACCAGGGGAAATCTGTCCATAGACATTCTAGTTTTGGTTGATTCCTGCAAAATGTTACTTAACATTTTGTCTACTGAATTTACACTGTAGAAAATCAGTAGCTGTTAAAAAAAAAGCACCACTAAATCCCAGTACTTTTGTAGTTGTGGTATCACTCAATGGCTGCACTGCATAAGGCAAAAGGCAGCAAAGTTAAATTCTTCCTTCAGTGTAGCAACACATCTGTCATTTGTCATGTCTGCATGAAGGTATTGAGAACTCCTGTACTTGGGTACAGGGAATTTAGGGCTTGACCTTCTGTTAACTTTGAATTTCTGTTGTTAGAATTAAAAGTGCTTGACTTTTAATTCTAGTCAAGGGCCTGCTGAGGCTACAGTTACACAGAGGACTGACAGTTTTCTGCCCCTGGAGGTGGGGCAGCCACACAGATCATAAATGAGTATGATTTGGGAGCTTACTGATGAACAGGCTGTGATCCAGGGGCACAAAACTGGCAAAGATGTGTTACAGTGTAGGTGAGGGTGGATGGCAAGCTGACAGACTTCTGTCTGACACTTCTCTTTCCCACTCTTCCCTAAAAGAGTACAAAGTTGCCTACAAAGGTGCTCCATATCTATTCAGTGCTTGCTTAAAGAATATTTCAGTGAGAACTGAAATTCGAGTTCCAAAAGCTTTTAGGAAACACATTTTATCCCTGCAGTTAGCTGGATGATTTTAGTGCAGAGATCCTCTTCTGAGCAGAGGCTTTCTTATGACTTTTAGAATGTGACACTGATGTGAAACAGCTGTGGGTTCTGTACTGCACTGTTAGATTCCATTATGAAGCAGCACAACAAAGGTAATGTATCTTTTCAGTTGTCATACAGTAGTACATTGCTAATTTAATTCCATTGGGGTTTACCAGTGCATTTTATGGATTTGGCAGGATGTGTGATCATAAATCTTCCTAGAACAGTCATTTCTTGTCACGTTTATAAACACAATGTGTCTCATGAGTCTGCTTTGTTCTCTGTGGGTTTTTTCACCTGCCTTTACAGCAAACAGGGAAGACTTTTGTATAGGCATAACTTTGCCAGTTTTACTTTTAGTGAGGGCAGATGACAATTGACACTAGCACAGATTAACAACCAGAGCCCTACAGAAGCTGCTCAGCAAGTGGATGCACATATTTGAAAAGCTTCTTGTCACTTTTCTGTTGTCAAGGGCACCCAGCTAGCTGAGATAAAGTGACTGGGGCAGCCATCTCTACTCAACTGCATGACACCTTCTTTTTGCTGTGTCACAGAGTAAGAAACAGGGTTTTCTTGTCAGAGTTACATCCTTGTGTGCAACACCTGCCCTAGTGATTACATTGGAAGTGAAAAAAAAGCCTGTTCTTTTCTTAGCCCATTTTGTCTCATGCTGCTCAGCTGATGACAGATCAAATAAAAGGTGAGCTTTTTTCCAGAGCAGATGTCCCTGTGTGTGTCCATGTAGGATTGTTCCGTGATAGATCATTCTTCACTGTGGATGTGTGGGGAGCACAGAATTTGAGCAAGACAAACTGACATTTTTATGTCTGATATCAGGCACTGATGGGTCACTGAGGGTGATGTGCAAACCCATTTGGAGTCAGTCACTGAGCAATGGGATGAGAGTTTGCATTAATAAGGCACCAAAAAGAAGTGAATATTTCTCTCCCCTGTCTTCCTCAGCTGTTTTGTGTATTCCTGCACTTGGGAAAATTACATTTTGGTAATTCTGCCATGACTCTCAGATATTTAAGGTGAACATTCCCTGTATAACAATTGTCAGAAAAATTCCATCTTACATGTAAATAATATATACTAACATTGCTGAAAAACAATGTCAAGATACCATCTCTTCTTTTATAAACTTTATTTTATATTATTTTTCTGTCATGTGGTTGTGCATTTTTGTTTACATAGTATTGAAGCCCAAGAGGATAAAGATATGTTTAGAATTTAAGTTCCAAAGCACATGCTTAAAAAAACCTTACTAATTTTGAGCTATGCAGACATAGTTTGAAATTTTTAGTGCTTTAATTATTGGAGAACATAATTCTTGTTTATTTTTGTTTATTTTTCCCCCTTTTAAAATGCAGGAAGATTTCATTTACTTACAGTGTCATTTCATGTATTTATATGTTTAATACTACACACTGGTAATTAGAAGAAAGGAAATACCTTTTTGTCCTTCAGGAGATGTTGTTTGCATCATTCTTTCTGCTTAAAGTTTGCTAAGTAAAAGTTACTGCCTATTTATAGATGAGTAAAACAGGAATGTGTTGGCATGAGATGATGCAGAGCTTCACCTAATGCCCAAACAAAAATGTCTGCTGATGGCCCATCAGTGGAAATAATTACATACTTTTACCTTAAAGAGGATTACTTGGCCTTACAGATCTATTTTAATGGAGAATTGATGGCCTTGTCAGCTACTACTCTTACTCTGACTGTGTTCACTGCAGCTACGAATGTCTGTGGGAAGAAGTAAAAGGGTTTTGTTGAGAAAAACAGCTTGCTCTACTCTTAATGCTGTATTTCTTGAGATGATAATGGATTTAATTATTTTCAGATTGAAGGATATGTTTCTCTGGCATATAAAGACCAGTTCTTGGGAACTGCTGGAAGTTTTATAGGAATGCTATAGATTTGATCCTCAAAAAAAGTGAATGAGAATTAAGTATCTTCTAGTATTTGGTGAATGTAAATATGTTTTTCTGTTTAACTGATTCTTTCAAATAGACCACCTTCATTTACAATATTATTTATAAATGGTAACAATATTTAGGAAACATTCATCTCTGGCTGGACTTTTCTTTAGGAAAATAGCTTGCATTCTCAGTGTTTGCTTTTCTTTGGTTTATTTTCTGCATTCTTTCTCCTCTTCCATAACTGGAGGGAGCAGCTATTAGAGCAGAAGCAGCATCAGTGATTTCATAACTCTTTAAATAAATAAGTCATAGCCTGCAGTAAGATACACAATTTTGTAGTGTTTTCTGGTAATTTTTTTATCATCTAGCACTTCAGTAGTTGATCTTAATCCGGGTTATATTTGTGTACTTTCACATCAGCCAATCCTAGATTCAATTCAGGAGGAGATTAAGACATCTAAATTTAGGTGTTTTATTGTGGGATTTTAAAAGTTGCTGGATTATATCTAAACTACCATTTGAGGCAGCAGAGTTGGAGTTCAGGGAATCCAGAGAGCAATTCAATCTGTTGAGTGTCTGCTTTAAGGTAAGCAGAATTACTCTAGAGCCTTGACTGTTCAATTAGGGGTTACTTCAGTTACCCAAACCCAGGCATCTTGTGACATGTTTGATAACCTAATCTATTTCCCCTTGCCTCCAGATATTGCTTTAGAATGTACAGTTCTTCCACAGATCCTGGACTAGATCTCTCAGTCCTATCCAGATATCTCTGGATTATTCCAGAAAGTACTGGGTGCACATTCATGTAGCTGAATTAAATCAGTGATCTCTAGTGACTGTAATGGAAGCCTAGACACAAAAGTTCTCCTCTGCCTGTAGGTGTGTATGGCTGAAGGCTGTTGCCTGACATGTGGCTAAAATCAGTGGAGATTGTCAGAACATAGGTAATCTGTACAGCAAATACGTAAATACATGAGTAAATATTGTAGATACATGAATTTCATTTAAAAGCATTGGGAGACCCTTGAGTCTGATGCTGTTGCAGATTATCAATTGCAGTGCTGAGAGGTGGGCCACTCCCAGGAGTCTACAGGCTGCGGCAGCTGCACTTCCACTGGGGCTCGTCTGACGACCACGGCTCGGAGCATGTCGTGAATGGAGTGAGGTATGCAGGAGAGGTAAGACTCACCACTTCTTGCTTTAAAACAGGGTGTAAAATAAAATTTGACACTATTGTTCTGTTGGGACAAAATTTGTCATTTCTCTGTTTTTCTGGGAGTTCTTTGTGTTTGTTTATTCTTATTAGCCTTTTTATTCTTACTCCCATTGATTCTTATAAATCAGGTTGAAGTCATTCTCACAGCAGGAGAAAAGAAAAATTCTTTGTGAAGTGAAGGTTTCCGTATTCTCAAACCAGTGTGGTGTGAAACAGCACAGCAAGACTGAATTACTCAGATGCAGTCCAAACTTCCTAAAAGAGTATTCTGAAAACACAGAATTATAGTAGAAGTATAAAATTGCACTTATAGAAAGGGGTGGGAAGAATGAATTACCTTGATTCTTAAGCACCTTAGGATTGTAAAGAACATGAGAAACGTAGACTAGTAATATACATGAACGACATTCATATGGATTCTTTGATAGAATTGCTGTAATTCGAATGCCAAATGGAAATGAGTCACATATCAGTAGATGATGTCTGAACTGCATGATCTACCTGATTACTTCAGCAACTTTTCTTCAGCTTTAAGATGAGATTACAGTTTGTTTTTTTTTTCAATTTCTTATTCAGATATTTATAGTTTATTTTAAAGCAAATTGTATAATTATGCAATCAGATAATTAGATATAACTATTAGATGACTTTGCTGTCCCTTTTTCATCTCTTTCTTTGGAAGACCTCATTATCATTCCTTTTTCCCTCAAACTTACTCAGTTATGTGAAGAACTGTAAATTCAGCCTTCTGATGGCTTGCTGTTGAATAATGGGGCTTTTTACATGTTTTCCTCTGTTTCAAGCTACATTTGTTACACTGGAATCCCAAATACAGTAATTACCTTGATGCTAAGAGAAGAACTGATGGGATTGCTGTTTTGGCCATATTTTTGCAAGTAAGTAGAGCACACAACCCTTCTTTGCATTGATACTATGAAGTTGCTATTCTTAGAGGGTTAAAAAAAGCCAAAACTCTCTGGTGGGTATATTTTCTAGGAATCCTACCACATTGAAGGGGTTGGCTTTCAGTAATGTATCCCTTTCAAGTTACAGAGCATGAGTCATATTATCTCAAGTGGTATCCAAAACTACACACACTTGTCCCTGCAGCTATTGTGTCACTATGTGGCTCATGGAATGGGGACATGTGTCAGAAGTAGCCCTCTCACCAACAGCAGTCAGCTGTCTTTTTTGCTAACTGGGGACAGATTTCAAGGACATGTATCTCTTCTAGGTTTTTCATGAACTTTCTCTCAAACAAAATATCTCACAGGCAATACATATTACTCATCGGTTTTTTTTCCAATCCTTTCAGGGGCATGCAGCATTAGCCTGAAATATTAGCTGTTGCTCTCTCTTGTTTAATTCATATTCCCTAGACACAGAACTAGAGATGGAACGCTGAATGTCTTTTTTGAGATCAGCAATTGCAAACAATATATCTGACCATGAAATGTGTGTTGTGAAAAATCCTGTTATGCTAAAATTTCTGTAGTGAAACAATTTCCCCATTTGTATCATAATATCTGTTGGGAGATACAGGCAGAGGTAACAGACAGAAGACATAGCTTACCAAGCTGGTAGGGGTGATAGGTTGGGTTAATACATTATAATTTTATATTTGATAGATGTTTAGATAGATGCTCATAGGTTTGTAGTTGATAGATGCTCATACAGAAAAATAGTAGAAAGAAGAAATCTGGTCAAGCAGAACTCCTTGCTTAGCTCACATGTTGTTTTTTACAGGTAGGGGAAACTCCCAAACCAGAGATGAAGAGAATTCTTGAAGAAATAAATGCTATCAAAACAAAGGTAATGATGTTGCGCTTTTCATTGTAGGAAGATTGCTCAAAGTCTCAGGACAAAAAAAAAAGAATAGCAATGTCTGACTTCCTAAGTTTCAGATTCTGCTCTACAACATTTCTAGAATATATTTGGGAATAAAACCAAGCTTTTCCTTAACATGAAAAGTCCTTTCTTCCATTTACATAAGAGCCTTCTTTGACTTTAGCAGGGCATATGAGTTTGGTGAAAATGAGCAATTTACCCAGTCTTTGCTCACCTAAAAACTAGGCATGTAACCTTATTGCCTCAGTGGGCAGTGCCAAATAAAGGGCATATTTAGAAATTGGTCCATTTGGTTTTAATATATAGGCTGCCTAATGGATCTCTGGAAATGCCACTGACTAGACATTTGTGTCTTAGATAACATTATGTGATAAATCTCACATTTCATAGGCTGTCTTGTTTTTTATTAGCACAAATATTATAAAAGCAGTACCTGTCTCACTTTATTATATGGTGACCTAATGCAATATTCAATAGATAGAAAGAATTTCCATAAGAAAGGAGGCCAGAAGGAGGAGTATTTCTGCACAGAAATGAGTGAAACACATTGGTACTGGATGCTGCTTCACATGAGTTAGCTGAGGTACAAGAAGCAGCATCAAGTAGTTTTCTGTTTGATCATGCTTCTCTGGGCCCATCTGTGAGGGTCATTCAGTCCCCCTGTCTCACTGCACCATTATATCTTGTGTAGATCTGTGCTTACTTTCCTCAGTTCATACATTTGCAGTATCTGAGTCACTCCCTGTTTCTTAAAATAACAGAGCTGCAAGCGAATCTTGGCTAGATTTGTTGAAGTTTTCTGTTTTGTTTTGTTGTGTTTTTGTTTTTATTTTAAAGGGGAAAAATGCTCCTTTTCCAAACTTTGATCCTTCAATTCTTTTCCCTAAATCTCACGACTACTGGACATACCATGGATCTGTCACTACTCCACCTTGTGAAGAGTGTGTTACCTGGATTATTCTTAGAGAGCCCATCATAGTCAGTTCAGACCAGGTAAACTTCACCCTTCATTTTATTTACATGCAATAACCTGAATTTATTTTTTTCACAAGGAAAACAGTCATTGGATTTGTGAGAAATTGCAGGATTAAAAGGAGAGTGAAGAATCACCCCACATCCAACACCATGGTAGTTCAAGCCCACAGACATCAGAGAGCTTTTTAAATCAGTAAAAACATACCACAGTGTAGATGGTCAAGGTTTTTTTTTCAGAAATATCATTTATCAGAATACAAATGTTATGGGATTGGTGATTCTATCTGCTCTGTATTGCAGATGGGAGTGTAAGTTGGAAGTGTTGAATTACATGCTTGATACCTGTTTCTGGAAGGCATACCAGCTAAATTGTCACAAACTGGAGCAACATCATCTAACTACAATTTATTGTTAATATCAAAAACTTCTTTTGTCACTTGCTGTAAAGAAGTATTTCTTGTTAATTCCTATCCTAATTTCCCCCCAATCTACTTACAGGAATTTGAATGCCCTCTTTCAGCTCATTTCAGCCTATGATTCTACTCTTACCACACAAGTCAGTTTTCTCACCTGAGGTTATTCCTCTAGTCCGCAGACTAATGATGCAATACCACAGATTTCAAGGCTCCAGGATACAAAGCACATGAACATTAATCAAGGGACTGACATATTATGTAGGTATTATATTTAGACACAGAACTTCTCGTTTTAAGTTTTCAAGATGATAATGTGTTTAGTGCATTCGTTGATGTGGATGTTATGACAGAAAGGAAGTATTTTTATTTTCTAGTACTTTGTATTTAAGTGGCTCTTCATCTTTTAAGTAATATTACTCAGGTATGATGAGAAACTTAGCTGGCAATAGATGAAATATGGTAATGTGTTCATATAACTTAAGGCTTAATTTTCTGAGCTTATTGAATTGCTCTGCCTTCTGTTTCCTTGTCCATCCAAAAATTAAAATACAGGGGCTATTTTAAAGTGTGGGCTTCCGTTAAAAATACAAATACGTTCTTATTGGTTTCTACAAAATGAATCTTCTTAGATGTTTATATTACAGAAGATCAGCTACAGATTGTATTAGGAAAAGTGTAGTCATTGTTGAGCATCTCTGATTTAAAATGCATTTTTAAAGAAATAACTAATCACATTATTGATCCAGCTTCATGAAAAGACTTTTTGACTACAGTTTTGTTTGGGTCATGGTCTTTTTCTCATCTGTTCTGAAAGTAGTGAGTTTTGCGAAACATACAGACTGTTCTTTAACTATCCCTCCTGAAGAAAAAATGGAGCATTTAAGATGAAATTGCTACATAAACAGGAGACATTGGCTCTTACCCTGAGGTAGCTGCTTTTCAGACAGAATTGGCAGCGTGTGTGAGTTATTGTCTAGAAATACAATAGAAATACTTCCCTCACTCCAGAGTGCCTGCACTCTAAATAACATTTTCATAAGAGGATTGTGTTGCCAATTATTTCTAATCCTAGACAGTGTAGTACCATGGCAGCCTCGTTAATAGTGATTATTTTAAGTGTGTGTGCATTTGCAGTGGATTTCTTGGATGCTTTTGCAGCCAGATGGTAACCATGTATTAGCCACAAGGGGAAGTGCAGTTGCTGCAAATCAGCGCTCTGCAGGAAAATCAATTCACCAGAAATCCCAGGGAGATACAGTGTGGGTGGCCTAGCTGCTCAGATTACTTTTAATGAAAGAACAGTGGAATAACTCTGTCTAATTGCAGACTAATTTTTTCATCTTTATGTAATCGTAGCCTGAATACATGTTGAGTTTTTACTGAGTAGAGCAGATCTACCACAAATAATAAACTCCAGCACCCTTCTCCAATAGTAATTTATCAATTTTAACAAAACTGATAAACAATTTTCATCTCTTCCTGTACAAATTATTCTTCATCTGAAATCTGAAATTTAATTTCAGAATATTAATCCATTGAATGCGTATTATGCTGGTTACAAATGTGATCCTATTGTTGTTCAGGCAGACTGAGATGGCCAGCTTTTCAGAGCTGTTCAGTGAATAGTAATGTTGAGATGCCCAAGCTAGCTCAGTCCAGAAACTGGAACAAGTTTAATCACAGTGAACCTAGGCTTTACAACCTAGACAGAAGTTCTGCTTGTATTGGCCTTGAAGTCTGTACTGAAAAGTGGATACATCAGCATATTGAAGCTCCTGACAGACAAAGGAGATGCGTCCCTGCATGGGGCTGCGTTTTCAAGTTACACATGGGAAATGTGTGAGTGCTTTTCACAGCAAGTCATTCAAACAGGGACAGGTTCAAGTGTCTGAATCACAGCTGATGTGCTTTGGATCTAGTGCAGTGTGGGGTAGTGACAGCAAATGAATATAGGGTATCTGTATACATGTTGCATCCTTTGAAAATTAGAAAGCAGTACAGAAAGATTATTAAATAGTTTTGATGAGTATGGGCAGAACTCTTCATATGGCATCCCTCGAAAAGGGAAACATACTTTGGTATGGCCAAGGAGATTCAAGCTGCAGACCTTGTTTACAAACCATTTGAAACCTTGACCAAGTCTTTATCCAGATTTAAATTCCAATTCCTGTTACTAATAATGAACTTCTTGTGTCACTGCAACAAAAGATATCCTCTGCTGCAGACCATGAACATGAACAATTAGTTTATAATTCAGCTTTAAAACCTTGTAATTCTAAAGTATTCTTAACAATCAGGCACTAAGGCAGGGTTAGAGTAGGAGAGGTTTATTACAGCACGTGCTGCTGTATTCACATTTTCTGAGTGCTTCCTACAGTTTCTGTGTCTGTACACGGTTCTGCAGACAGTACCTAAATGACACTGTTTTTCACAATGCTGTTCAAATAGGACCCATTTTTCTGTTTGGATTATTCAGAGTTCTTTTGGTGGTGGGGTGAAGGACATCTTCACAACTTTGAAGGAGACTTTTTTCCCCAGCTGGACCAGCCTCCTTAGTTTAATTGTTGGACTGTGGATTTGATCCCAAAGGATTTCCATTGGGACACTTCAATTTTTGCTCTTCTGCAGATGGCAAAGCTCCGCAGCCTCTCCAAGAATGCCGAGAACGAACCCAATCACCCCTTGGTTGATAACTGGCGCCCGACTCAGCCGCGGTATTTCAGGATGGTGAGCGCGTCGTTCCTCTAGGACCTGCCTCCTCTTGGGTGGCTCTGAGAGAGGCAGCCTCTAGAAATAAGAGGTGGTTTTGTTTGTGTCCTTTGCTGCATTTACACAGAACTCCAGCTGTAGGTCTGGATGTTGAAACTTGAGTTGTGGAATGAGAATTTCACTTTCAGAGGATAACATTTATTTAGGCAAATCCTACTGTTAAAATGGAAGTAGAGAGTCTGTTGGTTCTTCATAACTGCTTTAATATTAGCTTTTGTTAATAGTTTAAAGGAAGAAGGAAGATGCTACTGATAATTACAAGACAATTTCCTATTGTGCACATGACCCTTGATGCTTGTCTGATTGCATGCTAAAGAGATTTCAGTTAAGAGAAGTAATTGTTTTCACCATTAAAGACATATTTTTCAGTAGATGTTTTCAGCATTACCCATATCCAGCTCTGAGCTGCACCAGTTAATCCACAAGGCATTCTTGGAAATTCTAAACTCTTTTGGTCTTTGGTACATAAAATATGAAAGGACAGATAATTGGGTTATAATCACAAATAAAGAGCTAAACTTTTACTTTCTTAAAACAATGGACAGGTGAAACAGAGGTCTATTCTGAAAATTGTATTCACTGAGTTATGTGTAGTTAAAACTATGGGAAGGGGGAAGAGCTATTTCATTTTGTGTCACAACTGGTTCTCTTTATTAAAAGACTAATTTCCATTTTAATATTGCAGCAGTCAAGGTGACATAAATTTTGTGAAGTTGTTCTTTGTATCCTTCGTATATATTTTATTCATGTATGCAAATAGCTTTTCTGTGTAAAAAGGGTGTTAAAATAAGAAGAGTCCTTAGTATTTTTAATTATTTTTGAGACAAATTCTCGTTTCATATACAAATGTAATCAATCCTGCTGTCAATGAAGTTTGTGCATCAACATCTGAAACCACAGTTGGACTCTTAATCAAAATGCAATTGACCAACATGTTCTTGTCTCTTGTTTTGGCACAAAGAACAATGAAACAGGGTTGTAAGCCTCTAACTGAATAACGCTATTTCTGCATTAAAAAGTTGAATAAAAAAAATATATTTACTTAAGATTTTTTGTTCTGTAGTTTTTTTTACTATTTAGAAACATGTAAAAGTAACAGAATTTTAAAGAAAGACCTGTCAATGTCCTCTGTGTTATATCTTTATAGAAACTGATGATGCACAGTATCTTTTTCAGATATTTGTTTGAACTACAAGAGTACTGATTTCACATGACCCCAAAATTGCCACATCCTTGAGACATCCACATCTGTTCTTTTAGTGAGATCATCTCTATTCTGACAATAGCTTTCTTGCAACATCATATGAATCAACTTCACAAGTTGATTGCAGAGTGGAAAAGTTCAATCTGTATCCAAACTCACTAAACTGAAAGGTAATTTACCACTGAGCTCGGGAAATACAAAGCATGTGCTGCTCTGGCAGTGCCTGGATTCTTGGCTGCCGTGTTAAGGGGCAGGAGGACGTTACTGAGCTTGCTGATGGGAGAAGGGTAATGTTCCTTCATTACAAAAAGGAAAATTGAAGCAAAAATTGATTTTCCAAAATGCTTAGTTTGTTGTGAGTTACAAGGTAAGTTGTTTTATAAGGTTCTTTGTTAAACTGAGTTGCATATCCTAGAGCAGGTGGTTTTTTTTCCTTGCAATTCATGGTATTGCAAATCTGGAACGTGTAATCTCAGGGGTTTTAAATGAAATGGTGGCTTCCCAATCATGCTTTGCAAAGGAGATATAAATGCAGGTGAGGTAAGCCTCATCCTCCAGACCCATGTTTATTAATTTGGAAACTTAAAAGCTGAAGTAATCTCTTGAAAGAAAGTGTCATTTGACTCTTCCATGCAGTTGTTTTCATTTTATCTGTACTTATAATTAGTAAGAAGTAGACTAAATTCGGCCCAGGAGAGCTGCAGATAAGAGGAAGTGTGTGAAAAAGGGTTTTGGCAGTTGTTTTACAGACCCTGTTCCTGTGTTCAGGGACTGCTGGAAGCAATGATGACAGATCCAGAAAACAATGGTACAGCAGGCATCAGGGGAAAAATGGAAAGAGTAGGAGTAGAAGGAAAATAAAAAGCCAAAGAATGGGGGTGGGGGCACTTCAGGGACCCTGTGAATCACACTGTAAGCTGAATATATGAGGAGTTTAGAGAGAGTATTGAAGGCAGCAGGGAGAAATATGGGGTGCTGTGAGTCAGCATTTAGAATGTGCTCATGTGTCACGCAATTTCCTGCTCTCTCTGGCTGTGTTCATTGTTATTCTGCAGAGGTTACCCCTTGCTCTGCAGCTTTCCCCAAGTACAAGAAAAATTAATCACTGGTATGACTGAATTCAGATCACGTTGTAGTAACGTCCGTCATACCTCACTTCTTACCTGCACATTCCCACTGTGTGATCCAGCTCTGCACTACAGGAGCAGGGAGCACTGTGTTCAGAGCTACCTGGTCAAAAAAAGACACCCAGTATTCATCTTGGTGGGGTAGAACACAATCAATTACTGCTGTATTTGACTTTCATACCAGGTATACCTGACTACACTTGGTGACATCAGTGCTAATTAGAAACAGCCCCTCTGAAACAAAATGAGACATGCAGACACACTGCACAGCTCATTTGCAGCCCCTTCTCCAAGTCACTTTTCATCTACTGCAGAGCTCAGAAATGACACGACCATGCTCTGTGGTGCTGCAAGTCTTCCCAAAACTTGAAACATTTTAGTGGTGTGGCTGTACCTGCATCCATGTCATTGACAATCTTGAACATGAACAAGAAAGTGCTGTGGAATTAATTGGTAGCTGCAGTAGCACCAAAGATATGATTATGCTCTTCCACAATTAACTTTAGATAGGTTCTCCCCTTCTAAACTTCATCAAACTAAAAGATATTCATGGTAAATGTGTGGGGAGTCCACTTTCTTATGTTTCTCATTGGGAGCCTTTTCTCCAGCCCCAACATGTTGATCACAGAAGTTATCCTGGGTTACCTGTCTGCAGCAGTGCAGGAGACCATCAACCTGCAGCCTCACTTTGCGGAGCTCTCTGAGGTGAGCAAGAGGAGATAGATACAGATAATCTAAAATTTTATATAAAAATATACATAGGTTTTAGTGTTGAAGAAGAGTAAAAATTCAGGTGATGGATATTTCTGTAGAATTTACTCATCAAATCTTTAGAACAGGATGAAACTTAATTAAATCTGATTTATTTTCAAATTTAAGCCTATTCTCTATTTCATTATAGTAATTATAGGAAAATGAAGAGATCTTAAGGCCCTTTTTAAAATTAATAAATAAAACAGTATTTTGCAATCTATATGCAGAGCTGTTAATACCATGAGAGGAATTCAGAATTGTTTTGCTCAAGTTTCAGATCTGGGATCACAAACAATTATTGGGACAGATGCTCTGTCCTGTTGCCCAGCTGTGTGGCAGCAGTGGCAGCTCAATGGAGCTGAACTCCAGTCTGTCAGCTGGGGGAAGCCACCCATCCAGAAGGACACACAGCAAATCCCTTGTCGTGGTCATCAGGATGCATCAAGTTTGGCTTGCTTTGGAAAATGTTTCATTCCTTCGCCTCAAAGCCTTTTTGCCACTGAACAGATCTATGCCTCAGTGTTTTTACAGCTTACTGTCTGTCTGTGTATATGTGTACATATGTGTCTACCAGTATATACACAAAACATATGTGCTGTATAAATACACATTCTGCTGCTGATTTTGATTAATGTGCAATAGTATTTTGTCTGAAACTACAGCTAATTTCAGAATCAGGAGAAAAAGCATCCTTCTAGAGAAGTTAGTGTGCTTTTAACAAACCTGTCTATGGTTGGCTGCCTGCCACACCTAGCTGTCTTCCAGAATAAAGTAGCAGAGCAAACAGCTCCCTTTCCCTCCTTTTCCAAGAATAAAATACCTCCTCAATTTGGAGCAGGTATGCTTCTTTCTCAGATCATTGGGGCCATTATCACTTTGTCTTGCTTGAAAATGCTTGCTTAGAAGCCTAAGAGCACACTTGCTGGTCAGAGACTAGAGATGGCACTTGGATTCCCAGTTTCAGGTGACAGGTCAAGAGAAAGCAGTCTGTGAAGGACCTTGAAAGTCAAAGTGAGTTATGTGTGTTTAATGTGACAAAAAAAGACAGCCAGGATTCATAGAGGTGGTGACACAATCCAAAGGACAGTACAAGAGAATTATGTTAGCAAACAATAGAAAGGTTATGTTTGCTGGTGCTGGAAGAAAGGACATGGCAGCAGTGAGGGTATGAGACACTGAGATCCTCAGATGATTTTAAGACGGTTGGAATAACAGACTTTGTACCCAATGTTTTCTAAACACCAGTGCTGTTGCTATGTAGTATTTGGTTCTTTGCTCTGTTCTGACTTGGTGGTTCTTTAGTTTTTTTCAGTTTGAGTTTCTCTTGTAGCAATTCCAACCTATCCTTCAATTAGATTTTATTATTCTCTAGAACTAAATCTTACCACACATTCAAGCCACACTTCTTAGGATGTTACTACGTGGCATTACTGTACAGAATCGTGTTTTTAGACATCATCTGTTCAAGGTAGAAATCCTTGGCATTCCTTTATTTACTGTTCCACTGCTTTCTTCTGCAGTCCCACACAAATGACATGTAGGAGGGACATTCAAAATCATGAGTTCATTTAGCCAGTTTTTAAAATACTTCTAAACTACTTCTTCCTTCCCATTCAAATGCTGAGAAGGGCATAGAAATACTGTCAGTTGAGAAGGAGCTTCTTGCTTTAATGACTGTCTGGACCAGGAATACTGGGAGGTAAGTCAGCTCCTAAATTGAAAGTTCATGGACCTTTCAACAGTGGTCCTGTTCCTGCTTGAAATGCTGTGACCTTTGCTATCATGTTTCTTCTGCAAGGTGCCTTATGAAATAGGTTCCTGCTTTAAATCCTTGATGGATTTATTGAAACAAGCAAAGTGCTTCAAGTAGATGCGAACTATTGACATATCTAGTTTCTATTAAATTGACTATTTTGGTTCACTCTGCTAATGGTAACTCCTGCAGTAAAATGACATGCAGAATGGTATTCTTAAGTGTCTTTATTAAAATATGGTAAATTAGGTTGCAGTTCCAAAGTAATTTATAAGCTTCAGAAAGAGTAGCTGAAGAGATACTTGCACAGATACAACAGGAGAAAAACTGTATCTACCTGTGTATACAATTTCAAGTGTCATGTCTTTATTTTGCCCTTTTAATGATAAAGGCAAAACCAGAAACAGACAAACTGATAAATGCTCTGTCAATGCTGCCCATGGTGACCAACCATCCCTTATAAACTTCCTCACTGCTTAGGTATTGATTGGCATTTTGGACTTCTTCAATGAAAGCAAACATTATTATGCCATCTGTAAGTAATTCATTTTGGAGTGAGTGAGGGTAAAATCCATGGCACACAAATTTCCGAAGCCTCTGTGGCCTGTGAGAATTGACAGTGGGAATGATTGCTCTGTCCTCTTTGAAATGGCCGTGCAGCAAACCCAAGGAAAGTCATAGCCCTTCCCCAGAGGGGGCAAGGATAGGTCTCCTCCCATATTCTTTCCTGCTCCATGCAACCTGCAGGAGAGAAAACTTTGAGATGATTTTTTACTTTATCAGATTTGGCCAATAGATTCAAACATGGAGAAGCCAACTGCCAGAGGTATGCACATATGGATATACAAAAGAACATTTTGTTTTGCTAAGCAAATTGGTCAGGTATTAAATGTCAAAATGGCCTTTATAAAGAATAGAAAAATACAAGCCTGCCCACCTGAAATTTCATGATTGCAGATATGCTTCTATCTCTTATAAGATGATAAAGACACTATTTCTGTGGGCTTACTGTTTTTCTAAAATTTATGAATACAGTAATAATGCAATTTCTGTAGATATGAGCTGAACACAAATCATGAGATAATGCATTTAATTGATGGCTTATAATGAAGAGTGAGCTTGGTTTGCT